ATTGCTGTATATATAGTAAGTTTGTTTAACTTATAAGAAACTGGTTGCTTGGGAAGAAGCGTTAACTGCAAACAGTCACAAGAGATCTTTTTTGGGGTGATGAAAATGTTCTAAAACTGAGTCGTGGTGATGGTTGCACAACTGTGTAAATTTATTCAAAATCATTGACTTGTTTATTTCAAACAGGTGAATCTCATGATATGTTAAGTGATACCCCAATAAATCTGCTAAAGAAGTTTTTCCCAGCCAGGTTTGAGATGTCTGGGTTAGAAGCTGAGTGTCCTAGGAACTCCTCAGCTGGGCCCCAGACTCTGCTGTGTCCCCCCCCTCTTCCTTCTTAGGTCAAAGCTTCCTCTGATCTCCGACTTTCAGGAAGCTACTGGATGTTACCCTGACTTATTTTTTGAAGAAGTCTGGGATTTAATTCTGCAGACTCAGCTCGTATGAGTGTAAACATCCTAACTCTTGGCCACTCTGTCCAAAGCAGAAAAATGGACATCAGAGAGAATGAGTGGGAGAGCGGAAGGGAGCACCACCAGCACCCCTTGCTCCCATCATGTGGTGACCCTACCACCACTTGGGGATGCTGAGCACCAACCCAGAACAGGGACTGAATCTGAGGTTCAAAGCTCTCATTCAAGCTGCACCTGTCCCACTGCTGGTGGTGCTCAGGCTGCAGAGTTCTCTCCACACCATTCCACACCTCCTGGCTGTGGCACAGACTGTACCCTTCCCCTTTCCTTGCCCACCTGGACAGTCCTACTCTTCCAACAAGATACAGCTCAGTATCACTGCTTCTGAAGCACGCCCATCCCCAGTCACCCCAGTAGAGCCCCATCTCCCAGTGGCAGAGGGCTTATTTACATGTCTGCCTCCCCGGCTCCTCTGTGGGTCCCTGAGGACAAAGAGTCTGCCTTATTTATCACCGGTTCTCAAGGGGCCAGGGCAGACCTCCATACATACAGGGTCCAGCTGCGTGAAGCAAGAGAAGGGAGCGCGACACCACCTCAGACACTTACAGGGCCAGGAAGACCAGAGGAGATGCCCCACCCCCCTCATCTATTCTTGGACTAAATGACTTCTCTCATCTGGCCCCAGAATGGTCAGAGGGCCACTCCCTGTGGAAACCACAGTTTGGGGTGGAAGCCTCTCTTCCACAGCTTTTCTGGGCCAGGCCCACTTGCCTTGGAAATGGCCTTAGTGTTATTTAAACTGCAGAACAGGGTCTGTGGGTGGCTCAGGCCTGGGCTGGGCAGGGGTGCCCTGGAACAGCATCACATGGAACCTCCCTTCCCCAGCCACCAGGACTTCGGGGGTTGAAATGTGAGGTTTCTTCTTAGCAGCTTCTTGCTATAGTGGAAAAGAACAAAGTGGGTAAGGTATGTGGTACCCTGAACCTGTATATTTATGTTAATTTGGAGATGGCTTTTTCCTGAGTGGAGATGGGAGTCCTCAGAGGCCCACACAGCAGGCTCCCAGCCAGGATGGGCCATAGCTGGTTATCTCAACCATTTCTCACACCCAAGCTCTACTGTGTAGCAAGGCTTGTTACTTCAGAAAGGTTGATAGAGTGCTTGAAAGCCCCAGGATCCTTGCTTGACCTGCTGGCCCCCATATTGGGTGCAGAGGAGTCCAGGCTGGCAGGCACTCTGCCATAGCAGGCAGCTCATGTTTTCCTTGGTATCCTAAAGGGCACTAGCTTGGTGTTCCCACCACAGAAACCAGAGCCAGGAATAGAAGCAGGGGTACCTGAAAAAGTCACCTAGACTTCAACCCAGTGTGGTCTCTTCATAGTCAACAAATATTTACAGAGGGTCAAGCACAACACTAGGCATGGGGACTACAGGGGTAACAAGCCCCAACTCCACTCACAGCCTAGTGGATGAAGAAAACAGACACTGAGGATGGGCGATTATGGGACTACAAAAGAGAGGACCTGGCCTAGCCTGGGTGGAGGTGGGTTCAGGGAAGGCTGCCTGGCAGAGGCAACATCTAAGCTTAAGACTTGGAAGACTGAGTTATGCAAAGAGGAGAAGAAGAATGAGAGTGAACAGCATATGCAAAGGTCCAGGGTCAAGAGAGAACCTGGAACATTTAGGGAGTTTACACATAGTTCAAGATGCCTGGGACTAGAAGGAGGAGAGATGGTTTGAAAGTCCACATCGTGAATAACATGAAAGTATATATAACACCTGACACAACCTATAGCCGGGGCTCTGCCAGGTAGCTGTCATCATAATTTGGTTTTGTAAGCCAAGTGAAAGGTTGGGGACTTTATCCTGAAGTCAGTGGGAAGACATTCAAGAGTTTTAAGCCTAGGGTGACTTGATCAGATTCACAGTATGACCAAACTTCAAGAGATCCCTGTGACTGCAGAGTGGATTATGGACTAGCAGGGAAGCAAGGCTGGAGGACCAGAAGACCAGTTTGGAGACTACTGTAATCATTCAGAAAAGAGGTATGGGGTAAGGGGCTTCAAATATCCCCCAATAGTAGAATAGACAAATACACGCTGGAAGATGGAATCCAGCTATGAAAACGAACTAACTGCGCACAGCATAAATGAATCTGGCCAGTGCAAGAGTGAGCAAAAGCAGGGCAAACACAAAATGGGGCTGTATAATCCCATTTACATAAAGCTCAAGGAACAGGCGAAATGAAAAGCGATAGTGTTTAGGGATGCTATTAGTTGGCAAAAGTACGGAAGTGATTATCACAGTAGTGGGAACAGTGATTACCCTGAACTCCACACTACCTTGACCTGAGTGATATTTACCCAGGTGTTCACTCTGAGAAATCGTCTCCCATTTCTGCAGTGTGCTCTTTTCCGCATGTGTGCTAGTCTTAACAATAAACAGGTTTAAAAAATAACAGTGCTTGCTCCAAGGTAGTGGAAATGAGATGGACAGAAGAGGCTGATTTTGAAAGGTGAGGAGGCAAGGACTAGGTTGGGAGGCAGATGAGAAAAATGACAGTGTTTAATTTACACTCTGAACTAAGGAAACCTGCAAGATATTGAAGTGGAAATGCTCAGCACCACTGTGAGAGCTCAGACAAGTCTCTTCCCCTGAGTAGATTCCCTTCTCCACGAGAGAGGGAATCAGCACGGTTTTACGCAATCAGCCTTGGGTTTTGGCATTGGCTACCCTGGGCTTAAAAGTCCCACATTTGTTACTTCATGGCAGTGAGACCTGGACAATTACTTCACCCCTGCCTCCTCCCTGCAGCCTCAGTTTCCTCATGTATAAATTTGAGATAATCACTTTTACTCTCAGGTTTCTTCAGAGGGTTACATGGTAAACCAGGAGTAGGCACTTGGGGTACTTGGGTCTTTGGTTACCAATTGAGAGAATCTCAACAACGAATGAGAAAATACTTTGAAAACATAAAAGCAAGAACAGGTAACAACCACTTTATAGTTTTTACACTCCAGTATTAATAAGAACTAGCTGGGGAGCTTGTAAAACTGGGTCTTCTGTAAATCTAGAATGACCATATTACTTATAGTCCAAATCAGGACACTTTTGAGAAGGGAGGCAATATTATGCCAAAACAACAGACATAAACCAAGACTGTCCCAGTCTTGTCCAAGGTAAAGCAGGACATGTGGTCTCTCTATGTAGATCCAAGATGGGGACCAGGTATCTCTGATTTCCCATCAAGCCTCCCAAGTGAACTGTATGCTCTGTGAGGGCTTGACCCCGTGCACCTGTTGTGCCACAGAGAGCTGGTTTATCCCGGAGGGCTCATCTCTACTTGGAGCAATCCTCACAATTCTGGGAGATGACAATTGCTAACATTTATTAAGCAACAGGTACTGTGCTGAGTACTTTACAGGCATCACTGATCTCAGTTAATTCTCACCAAACCTTTATGAAGCAGGTGGACTTATCAGAGGAAACTAAAGCTTTAAGAAGTTAAACAACTTCAAGGCCATACATTTGGGATAAAGGAGCACAAGTTTGAACTTAGCCAGACTGATGAGAACCCTAGTTTTGTTCATACTATTGCTTCTGGTTTTGTTGACACTCCCCCAACCCCCTAAGCTCCATGGAGCAAGGTACCGTGGACACCAGAGAGGCTGCCTTACTGAGGCGTCTACAGCCTCTCCTCCACTTGGGAAGCACAAGTCTAACAGTAGGTGGCAATCTTGTCTTCCTTTCAAACTATCACTGAAGAGGTTGGCCTTCTCGGAAAGCCCGAGGCAGATGGAGCTAATGAGTCGTCTACCGGCTCCTATCAAAGAATCTTGCAGGGAGCCTGTCTTGGGGCACCTAGCAACTGCCAATATCCGGTTAGGCTAACTTTTGTGGCCGGTTTGAGGTCTCAGTGAGGCTTTGCGCTGTCAACTAGTAGTCACAGACACGCCAATGTTGGAAAGCCCCTCTTGCATATAGTACACAATATCTCAACTCTGCCAAAATGCATCTTTATTACACGTCTCCCACGGCTGTTTTGAGTTTCTTTTACGTGAGCACTTTTAATTTGTACAACCTCATCATGGGAGGCTGGATTTTGGAAAGGGCTGGAAAATATCGTGGACAGAGGCCCAGAAAAGGAAAGCGACTGGCCGTTACAAGATAGAACAGCGGGGACTAAGACCCAGGTCCCCGCTACGCCCGGAGCCGACGCCACCGGGACTCCGCCCCCCGGGCCGGCGTGGGCAGAGTCCCCGGAGGTCCGCAAGCCGTCTCGCGCCCCACCTGATGCGCACGCTCAGTCCGACCCTGTCGGCGCACCGCCCACCTAGATCCCCTGGCCGCAACGGGTGTGCTCGCCGGGGAAACTGAGGCAGGGATTGTGCTTGCCTGTTGTTCCCTCGGTCCACACCCCAGGGCCAACAAAGCTGCTTTCCCCTCCTCACACTCGCAAGGAATAGCAGTTCAGGATGGGAAAAGGGGGAGGGGGCCGAAAGCAAGCAGGGTCCGAAGAGTCGGCCAACCCGGCCACACTCAAGATGGCGGCGCCAGAGCGGCGAGGTCCCTCAGAGGCGGTACCAGCGCATGCGCAGCGCGGAGTCCCGGCTCGGGACACAAGATGGCGGCAGCGGCGCTGGGGAGGGCGAGGCGGAGGCGGCAAAACGGGCGGTTGAGCAGAACGTGTAGCCGCATCTCCTCGAGTCCGCTCCGGCCAGGTAAGAGCCTCAGGAAGCCATGGTCCCGCCGCGAGCCGCGCCAGGGTCCGGGGATCCGAAGCCGGAGGCGGTGGCCCCTCCGGCGTTCTCTGCTCGGGGCTACCGCTTGCCCTGTCCCTGCCACCGCCGCCATCTTAGGCTTGGGGATTGACGGCCGAGCTGGTGGCCTGGGTGGGAGAGGGTCCGGAGAGCGCTGGGTAGAGCGGCCTCTTGGGCCCCTCCGCTGCTGCCGCCGCCACCGCCTTTGTGTCGGGCTCAGACTCTGAGTCGCCTCAGCCCGGGGGCGGGAGCGCGCGGCGGGGCGGGGGGCGGAGCCCGGGAGATGGGCTGGCGCGCGCGCGCGCCGAGCAGCCCGCCTCTGCTTGGGTTAGCAGAGGGTGGGGGAAGGGAAGAAGGCAGGTGTGCGCGCACTGGAGCCCTCCCCCCACACTCCCGCCTTCGCGCTCTCCCCACGCCTGCGCACTTTGCAATCCCTTTGACTCCTCCCTACTGGGTCGGAGAACTCTGATTGGTGCGTTACTGAGGTGACCCGCCCCATGTTTTCCTACCCGGGATCGGACGCTCAATTCCTTCTGGAGGGTTCCTCTAGTTGCGTAGTTACCGTTGTTTACCCTTTAAGCTGCTTGGCGCTGTTAAATTGTGGTATGCGTGGGGGCTGGGAATCCAAAGGATAATTTAAAACGTTATCTTAATAATAGAGGTTTTGTGTTACAGCGAGTGTGCAGTATGCTTGACTCTACTCGTAGGAACTATAGAGGTTGAATGATTCTGGTTTATAAATAGAAAAGCGGCAGAAGGGTCTGGAACTCGGGTCTGTCCAAACCCAGAGCTGATACTTTGGCCACCGACCTGCTGCATCGAAATCACCTGGGAAATTAAGAAATTAGTTTTAGTCATAAAAAAAATTGGTAAGGATTTGAAACTGTAAAATGAAAAAAGTAGATATTTCGTCTCCCACTCATTCTTGGGGTGCATTAATACAAAGTCTTGTGAACTTTGCCTCCCATTTCTGACTTGTAAGATATGGAGGTGAGGAACAGGAATCAGAATGTTTTTACAGCTCCCCCATCCCTCCCGCCTCCCCATCGTTCTGATGCACAGGCAGTTCTGGAAATAGCTGCAGTGTCCCCGTTTGGCCTCTCTAAGCCGTGCTGCTTATGCCTCCTCTGCACAGTTTAATCTACCTTAGTGCATCAGTATCACAGAGTATTTCTTGGGGAAAATAGCTTTTCAATAAAGATGAACATGATGTATTACATAAAGCATTTGCATTTTTTTTTAAAGACCTGATTCAAAGAAGTGTGTTTTTCACTGAACTATGGGTAGCTTTGGATTGTGTCCCTGTTTTGATAATGTGTGTTAACTTTTATCTTAGGGGTACTTTGGTCGGCAGGACCAGCTGCACAAATTGTGGGGTCCCTTGAGACGTGGGCCTCCTGTTAAAAATTTATTAAAATATCAAGACAGTGACAGCAGAGCATTAAACTAGGCTCAAGGCTCTCAACATGGGGCCTTGTGTGACTGTGCAGAGTGCAAGGTAATGATGGTGAGCCTGTTGGTTGGAAAGCTTGAGACGTACCATTTTCATCCCTTGAGTCCCCAAATATCCCACAGTGCATCCTGCCCTGTCTTGATGGCTCCCAGATTACTCTGCCATTGTCCATCTTGGTGGTGTCTCTGTTGTGCAGCATAGTACAGTCTGTGACTCTCTTTTCTTCCATTTGCTCTGCAGTTGCTGATGCAAGAAATCCCCTGGGCCCCTGTCCACTTCACTGCTGACTGGCCCACCTGTGCTGAGCCTTCCTTCGGGTCTACTCCCTGCCTCTGTGGGACCCTGTGATGTGGGGGTCCATCCCGTCAGAGAAGAATACCCTCTAATGCTAGTGTTGCAGACCCCAGAGGGTGAGAAAAAGAGGGACCTCGTTCAGCCTTAAGACCTATGGGCTTAGCCCCAAGGCAAAAGAAATCCCTTCTCCCCAGAAAACCAAAGCAGCTGCAGTTTTTTCTTCCCTTGGTCAGTGGCTCCAGACCTTTTTGTTACCATGTCCCCCTTCTGCCCTTCTGTTGTATGTATGTCCTCTTGCTCCCTGCATTTTATCTGCCAGATTGTACCAATGAAGTAACCATTCACTTTTCCCTTCCCAAATTAACAAAGACGTCTATGACTGAGTGTATAATAAAATCAATGTTTTAATGATTCCTATGATGTTGTCAACAGCCAATCAGAACTTCTGATCAGCATGAGATAATCAGTATGACCACAATGAGTTGATAAAATTTCAGCAAGCAAAGATAACTGATGTTTAAATGTGCCTTTGTGGTCTTTCTGTGGATAAAATGTTTGATTTCTTTTGGGTGTTGTGACACGTTCAAAAAAAAAAGGATCACCAATACAATCTCATTTGGCCCCTAGGAGCCTAACAGCTGGGTTGGAAACCACTTTGGCCACTGAGGCTTATGCTAGGTGTGCTTTGGTGGGGTGGGTAATAGTGATGCAAATCTGAAGGGGCCGACCTCCTTCCAGGTATTTTAAAGTAATTTTTCACCTGGGTTTTGAGATGGACTGAATTAGATATTCCTTCTCAGTTCCACTGGTTATTTTAACAGCAGATTGCTTCCTGCCCTGTAGTGTAGAATGAGGCATCCAGTTAGATGCCATGTCCCTTCCTGGGCTGGGCTTTGTTCCAGTTAGGTTTTATGGATAGGAACAGGGAGGGGGAGGAGGAGTTGTTATTTCTTCTCATGGAAGTAGCTTCTCAAGGGCAGAATGTTCTGTCTTGATTGCTGCTCTTGGTGCCTTATAAATACTTGCAGAATGCATAGATCTCCTCTTGGGCCCAGGTGCCCTGCTGAGAAGTGGAGAGAGCTGGACTGGACCCAGTTCCTCATCCTGGGAGTTCTGACAGTTTAGTGAGGAGACAGATCCGTTGATAGTCTTATGTGCCACAGTGGAGGTGCAATGACCCTGAGAAGGGGCTCTGATCACCTAGTCTGGGGGGCAGGAGAGCCAAGGAAGGCTTCCTGGAGGATGTGAGCCTAGTGGCAAACCAGAGGAGGATTGGGGAGGGTATTTCAGACAAAAGGAACAATAGATGTGCACCCATTTTACAGTTGAGGGAACTGCAACATAGATCCTGGGGCTCGTTGGATAGTACTATGCTGGCCCAGAACAGGACTGGATTGATTTCGCCGTATCTGCAGGGGGGGTCACTGGGGCCCTCAGTAGGCTCTAACTAGTGGGTAGAGGGTGGAGTTGATCTGCATGCACTCCTGGCCCTGATACCCTTTGGTTCTCTGCATGGCAGGTACAGTGTGGGTGCTGAGATGGCCAATGAGAACCACGGCGGCCCCCGGGAGGAAGCATCCCTGCTGAGTCACTCCCCAGGCGCCTCCAGTCAGAGTCAGCCCTGTTCTCCAAAGCCCATCCGTCTGGTGCAGGACCTCCCAGGTACTGGCAAGGGGCAGTGGTGGGGTGGCTGGGTAGGAACGGTGCCCTAGGAGCAGCCCTGACCCTGGCTGGGTTCCATGCTTGTTTGCAGAGGAGCTGGTGCATGCAGGCTGGGAGAAATGCTGGAGCAGGCGGGAGAACCGTCCTTACTACTTCAATCGATTCACCAACCAGTCCCTGTGGGAGATGCCCGTGCTGGGCCAGCATGACGTGATTGTGAGTGCCAGCCCAGGTCAGGGCTCTCAGAGCAGCTTCTGGCATCTTGGCTTCCCCAGATGTATACTGCACAGCTGTTATGTGCCTACCTGGGGATATAGTGACAAACAAGATAAGACATTGTACTTGCTCTCATGGAACCTAATGCTCAATAGAAGAGATTGACACATAAACAGATGACTCTAATAGTGTGTGATGTTGAACTTGTGGGCACTGTGCCCATGAGGCAGTTCTGAGCAAGCTAGACCTGGTCCTGTCCTTGCACTCTCAGGGGCGCATGGTTTAGAAGGGGCCAGTAGGATTATGGTGTGGCATTTGCATGAAGAATAGTGTCAGAATACAGCAGGGATTCTATCTGGGTCTGTGGAAGGGGAGGACACAGGACAGGCCTCTCTGAATTCGTGACTAAGGAGAGGTGGTTAATGGAAGTGGTAAGAAGGAAGGCGGAACTCATTCCATGAACCAGTGTGTCAGTGTGATGGGGAAGTACAGGCACAGGCTCTCTTTTGGAGACTTGGGCTTTGGATCCCTGTCAGTTGGGGCAGACTTCCTTTCCTGGGCACAGTCAAGCCAGTTGACATTCCCATTTTACAGATGAAGACACTGAAGCTCAGAGAGGGGAAATGACTGGCTCAAGACCTCAAGCCTGTAAGAGGCAGAGTAGGACTCACCCCTGATGTGATCTCAGGACCACAGTGCCCACCCTCAGATCACCCATACTCCTGGTGTCCCCTGAGGAGTTCCGTCTGTGGGGCATATAAGTTTTCCCTTTATCCCTGACTTTTGATTCTGGTAGTTAAGGAAAATAAATTAACATGTACCGAGCATTGGTCTTGTGCCAGATGTCATGATAAGCTGGTCATATTCATTGACTCATTTAACCATCTTCTCAATGGCAAGGCAGGGCTTAGCTTAGCTCTTTTGAAGGTGAGGGAATTAGGAATGGAAGTTACAACCCCAGGGTCACACAGTTGCCAAGTAGCAAGCAGGAGTGGAGCCCATGTTCTTTCTGCATCCCAACCCCCTCTGCTCTTCTCCAGTGAGTAGGAGCAGGGGCGGGAAGGTACCAGGATTCCACAGTACTGGGGCCCCTAAGGCACTGGCCCTGGTCACAGCTCTGCTGGTCTCCCTCCACTAGTCGGATCCGTTGGGGCTGAATGCGACCCCACTGCCCCAAGACTCAAGCTTGGTGGAAACTCCCCCGGCTGAGAACAAGCCCCGAAAGCAGCAGCTCTCAGAAGAGCAGCCAAGCGGCAATGGTGTGAAGAAGCCCAAGGTGAGTGTGGGCTCTCGGGAGCTGGCTGGCAAGCTGCCGGCAAGCAGCCAGGAGGTTCCCCACAAGGGCCTGGCCAGGAGGGGGCTGAGGCACAGCTCACCAGATTCACAGTGCTAGAACTGAAGGCCAACTCAACTGGCCTCATGCCTTTGACTCGCTGCAGATTGAAATCCCTGTAACACCCACGGGCCCATCAGTGCCCAGCTCCCCCAGTGTTCCAGGAACCCCGACGCTGAAGATTTGGGGGACGTCCTCTGAAGATAAACAGCAGGCAGCTCTCCTCCGACCCACTGAGTGAGTCCCTTCTGATTGGCTTGAGGGTGCCCATCTTTGATAGCCAGCCTGCCTAGGACTGCAGGGTGTGGTGGAGAGCAGGGTACCCCTCCGTCCCTTTTTTCTACTTTCCTCATTTCCCCTGTCTACATCCCAAGGGTGTACTGGGATCTGGACATCCAGACCAATGCTGTCATTAAGCACCGGGGGCCTTCGGAGGTGTTGCCTCCACATCCCGAGGTGGAGTTGCTACGTTCCCAGCTCATCCTAAAGCTTCGGCAGCACTACCGGGAGCTGTGCCAGCAGCGAGAGGGTAGTTGTCTCTGGGGTCTTGGTCTCCTTTGTGGCCATCTGTCTCTAGCAAGAGTTGGGGTTGGTCAGCTGGGCTTGGGCGATGGCACAGTGGAGCCCAGTGGCTGGGAGCAGGCGTGTGGAGCCCCAGCTCTACTAACTGCTGGGTGTGTGACCTGGGGCTCATTGCTTAACCACTGTACTTGGGGTTCCTCCCTGTGAGGTAGGTAGGGATGATACCTGCCTACATAAAGGGTGGCTGGGTTCAGTAACAAGAATGATTATTAATACTTCCAGAGTGCTTAACTATTTGCCAGGCACTGTTTGAAGCCTTTTATATGTCTAAAAGGGCATAAAATGAGTAATAATACCCCAGATTACTGCTGTAAGGATAAGTGGCATGTTAAGTGCTCAATAAACTGCAGCTTTTATTGATTAGTAAATAAATATAACTTTGCGGAAATATAGAATCCCTCCCACCCCCCTATTTTACTTTGTGTAACATTTATTAATGCCCTTTATGAAACCAGTGAATCTCAGAATATACTTTAGGAAGTATGGCCTAGAATGTACGCTCCTGACATAATAGGCCAGGTCTTATTTTACTGTTGTACCCATGCAGTGCCTCCTTGTGTGCCGGGCCACATGGAGTCTGCTAAATCCAGACCTTCATCAGCTCTCTTGTCCCACAGGCATTGAGCCCCCCCGGGAATCTTTCAACCGCTGGATGCTGGAGCGCAAGGTTGTGGACAAAGGCTCGGACCCTCTGTTGCCGAGCAACTGTGAACCAGTCGTGTCACCTTCCATGTTTCGCGAAATCATGAATGACATTCCTATCAGGTACAACGCCACAGCAGGGCCGATCAGGGCAGTTTGATGTGTGTGCTCAGCCCTGTATAGAAGGGCTCTAATTCTCTCCACTCTCTGAGCCAGGTTATCCCGAATCAAGTTCCGGGAGGAAGCCAAGCGCCTGCTCTTTAAATACGCAGAGGCCGCTAGGCGGCTCATCGAGTCCAGGTTTGGCCCTCTCCTGCCCCACCAGATGGGTCTGATTAGACTGGGGGAGGTTAGAGGTCATCTGGCCGACTCACAGGGCTCTGTCATTGCTGTTGGTGGCAGAAGTGGGGCTGGCGTCCAAAGGCAGGACAAAGGCTGCCGTGTAAGACTAGATAGAGGCTGGTGCTTGGATGCTGGTGGCGGTGGGTTGAGAGGGTGGAGCACTTATCAGCCAGCCCCTTTATGCACCCTTAACCTGCAGGAGCGCATCCCCTGACAGCAGAAAGGTGGTCAAGTGGAACGTGGAGGACACCTTCAGCTGGCTGCGGAAGGACCATTCAGCCTCCAAGGAGGACTACATGGTGAGTGGCCCCGGGGAAGGAAGCCAGTGGAAAGGCTGTGGCCACTTCCTCCAAGAAGCCCACTGCTTGTTCAGGCTGGGCAGGGCCCCACAGCAGCCTGTATGTATGCAGTACAGTGGACTTTTGACACTCATTGGTCCCTAGACTCAAGTATATGGAGATGTTTATATACGCTCTGGCTCTCAAAGAACATCTCTGATAAGGTGCTTGATGGAATAATGCTCAGCCACACGCCATAAGCTGCCCTTTCAACTTAATGAATGTTAAACATTTCCCTTGAGTAGATTTTTGGAAACAAGATGGACAAACTGCCTTTTCTCGGGTGTGTGCTCATAATGTGGTTGAGAGCTGTCACCGGTTTCAGTTCCCTCCCTTAACACGTCCAAAACAGTTCTGTTTTCTGGACCAGAGTCATCACTGCTTTACCTCTCCACCAGCACTAGCAATGGGCTTTTTTTTCAGGACCATTTTTCACAAGAGACAAGGTTTCGTACTTCACGATAGTAACTGTGTACTTGACACGTAGAGAGTGACAAAGGTAGGTGTACTCACTAGCCAGAGTGACTCAGATTCACTCATCACTTTCACACATGTGATTCAGTAGAATTGTCAATGCCCATTTATCCTTGCAAGTAGCTAAAAGCTCAAATGTTGAATCTGCAATGACCAAGGACCACACCTTGTAATGGTCTTTTTCTCTGATAGACTGCAAATGCTTTTTAAGTGGGGAATATGCTTGGTTTCTTTCTTCCCATCAAGTATCACAGGATCTGGCACAGTGTAACCCCAACAGTAAATGCTGGCATTTATTGGACATTTGCTATATGCCTGGGGCTTGGTAAGCCCTTAAGGGAACAATCACATTTAACATTTAAATTGCCTTGTTAGGTAAGTATTTTGTGTTCCCTTAATAGTTGAGGAATAAGATTCAGAGATGCCAAGGGATTTGTCCAAGTAATGCAGCTAGTATGTACCAAAGCTGGTTTCAAAACAAGGGCTTTTGGGATCCAGCAGCTCTCTTCTGCCAGACCACTACCACCCTGATCAGGATTTTCTCCTCCAGGATCGTCTGGAGCATCTGCGGAGACAATGTGGCCCTCATGTCTCAGCGGCAGCCAAGGACTCCGTGGAAGGCATCTGCAGTAAGATCTACCACATCTCCCTGGAGTACGTCAAACGGATCCGGGAGAAACACCTTGCCATCCTCAAGGAAAACAACATCCCAGGTAGGGGGCCAGGTGGCAGGGAGCCAGCTGGCCCTGGTTGAAGGGACAAGTGAGGCTGAGCTTCAAGGCCAGAGACTGTGTTGAAGCCCCTCTTCCAGCAGGTCTAGGGCAGGACCTGCTGTGTCCTTTGGTGGGGTCTCAACACTCTAAGAACTGGGCAGAAGTGATAAGTAAGGGACTGCCAGAGGTGATCAGAGAAAGATGGTCCAGGGGTAAGTAGTTAGGTGGACCTGTATTTAGCCTGTCTCTCTGAGCCTCAGTTTCCCCAAACTGAAGTAGAATACCAGGCTAGAGGATCACATGAGGAGTCAGTGGTAACTCAAAGTGTTTGGTCCCAATAGATCACTAAAGTGTGGTAGCTGTTTTGAAGGCAATGCAGTTCTCATACCTCTGCATGGCAGCGAGACCCATAGACCTGAGGCTGCTTGCCTACCAAGCCCCTGAGCATGGCAGATTAGCGGCCGAGGCAGTACAGAGCATGTGGACACAGGCCACCACTTCTTGCCCCTCCCAGTTGCCTGGCTGTTTGCTTTGTTACCCAACCACCTGAGCCTTGGATTATTCCTCCATGGGCGAAGACTTAACCCCCTAGGTTACTGGGAGGCACACAGTAGGCACTGAGGCTGTCTGGGGGCAGGGTTGCCCCTCACTGCTCTCCCTGCCCGCAGAGGAGGTGGAGGCCCCAGAGGTGGAGCCCCGCCTGGTGTACTGCTACCCAGTCCGGCTGGCTGTGTCTGCGCCCCCCATGCCCAATGTGGAGATGCATATGGAGAATAATGTGGTCTGCATCCGGTATAAGGGAGAGATGGTCAAGGTCAGCCGCAACTACTTCAGCAAGCTGGTAAGAGCTGAGGGACCGTGGAGGCAGGTCTCCCCAGGTGGGAGAGGTGAGGGCTTGACCCAGAGTCCTCAGCGGGAGGCCCGTGATGGGGGAGGGAGGGGCCGCTGCTGAAGCACGCTGCTCGCTCTCCCACAGTGGCTCCTTTACCGCTACAGCTGCATTGATGACTCTGCCTTTGAGAGGTTCCTGCCCCGAGTCTGGTGTCTTCTCCGACGGTACCAGGTACGGGGGAAGGGCTCCCCTGGAGGGAGTGGGGAGGCTGAGCTCGACACTGATGGTGGCCACTCTGCAGATGATGTTTGGCGTGGGCCTCTATGAGGGGACAGGCCTGCAGGGCTCGCTGCCTGTGCATGTCTTTGAGGCCCTCCACCGGCTCTTCAGCGTCAGCTTCGAGTGCTTTGCCTCACCCCTCAACTGCTACTTCCGTCAGTACTGCTCTGCCTTCCCCGACACAGACGGCTACTTTGGCTCCCGCGGGTGAGAACCAGGGACTACTGGGGCCCCTCCTGCCCAGGCCAGGGAAGTTGTCTCCAGAGCATAGAGCCCACCTTGGCCAGCTGTGTCCTGATGCTTCAGGGCTTTGGAGTCAGGCACTCCTGGGTGTAGTCTCTGCCTTCACCCCATCAGCTGTGTAACCTGGGACATGTTGCTGAACCTCTGTGAGCCTGGGACATCCCCTAACCCAGCCTGTGGGTTTCTCAATGAATGAGCTCAGATTTGGAATAGGAGCACCTGGTTGCAGGTACTGAGAAGAATAGGAAGTGGTAATACAGACCTCAGAGACCCTCCAGACTAACCTGGGGGCGGGGGGCAGGGGCGTGGATGAGAAGAAGGGATGATACTGTCTCCAGAAAGAAGACATGGCCAGGCCAGCAGGAGGGGAAGCTCAGCAGCCGGGGGACTGCTGGATGTGGTCGGTGCTGTAGCGCCAGTGGGGTCAGAACTGGATTTGAGCTCCAAGCTGCTCCACGAACCAGCTTGGTAGACTTAGGCTGCCAAACCTGAGCCTCTCTGTTTTCATTCCTTCTATGGAAATTGCCACACCCTGTCCCAGGACACATTTAGGATGAATGTCGGCCTCTGGCCTGCCTCAGTCCATCGCTTCAATGTGGCTGCCTAGAGGTGGGGGCAGCGCCTGTTTTTGGTTGAGGGACTGGGTCCCAGCGGAACTCAATGCCCACCTTTCTCCCCAGGCCCTGCCTGGATTTCTCCCCGCTGAGTGGTTCCTTTGAGGCCAACCCTCCGTTCTGTGAGGAGCTCATGGATGCCATGGTCTCCCACTTCGAGGTGGGTGTGCTGCTGCAGAGGTGGGGTGAGAGGGTGTTGGCGAGCAAGACTACCAGCCACCTGGAAGGCAGCACCTCATGTCGCTTCATGCCCCCTCCCCAGAAACTGCTGGAGAGCTCCCCAGAGCCCCTGTCCTTCATAGTGTTCATCCCAGAATGGCGGGAACCCCCAACACCGGCGCTCACCCGCATGGAGCAGAGCCGCTTCAAACGCCACCAGCTGGTCCTGCCGGCCTTTGAGCATGAGTACCGCAGCGGCTCCCAGCACGTCTGCAAGAAGTGAGTGCCCAGGGCAGGCAGGGGCAGGAGGGCCGGGCCGGCTGATGGGGCCACACTGAGCACCCCCCTGAGCTGCTCCTTTGCCCACAGGGAGGAAATGCACTACAAGGCTGTCCACAACACGGCCGTGCTCTTCCTACAGAACGACCCTGGCTTTGCCAAATGGGGGCCGACGCCAGAGAGGCTGCAGGAGCTGAGCACTGCCTACCGGCAGTCAGGCCGCAGCCATGGCTCTGGCTCCTCGTCGTCCTCCTCAGAGGCCAAGGACCGGGACTCAGGCCGAGAACAGGGCCCCAGCCGCGAGCCTCACCCCACTTAACACACCCTGCGGGGAGGAGAAGCCCCAGGGTGCTGGTGCAGACTGCCGGGACTCAGGCATCTGGTGCTGGGCGGACCCTGGGGCCTATCCCCAGGAGCCAGGCTGCCAGTGACACAGGAAGATGTTGGCTTGCCGGGGCTCCCCTCCCTGCCCCTTCCCCCAACTTCCCACCTCAGACTCACTCCACGGCCCCTGTACATAGACCCCATTCCTCCCCTTCCTGTCCTCCCCCAAGTCCTGTTGCCGCCTGGTTTCATTTGTAAAAGGAAATACAGAAATTCCCGTAAGAATGTGTGAGGGTCTTGAGGACAGAGAAGTCCAAGGAACCTGCAGATACTTCCAGGACTGCACCCCTCTATATCCAGGCTCCCCTTCTCATGGCCCTGGGCCTTTACCCCCCAGCACAGGGTTCCACACTGCCGCCCCTCACCCCCACCCTTGGGTCCCTGGAGGCTTCTGCCTGTGCCCAGTAGGTCTGAAGAGCCCACCATCTAACTGCAAGCCGCAGAGTCCCGTAGCCAGGTCTGTGCTGATACCTTGGGAGCACGACTGACAGCTGCACCCTGGTAGAAAGCTAGACTCCTGATGGTTCAGGTGTGCTTTACAGGCAAGGGTCAGGGAGAGCAGCTCAAAGCCACTGAGCCTCAGGGTATGGCTTCCGTGTAGATAGGCACCTGGCTATGCTGCTCTCAGGACATCTAGACATGGAACAGATATGCTCCTGTGGCCCGAGGGGGAAATGGTCTGAAGGTGCTGATGGGTGGGGCGGGGTCTTACCACCTCAGTCATCCCTCCCAGTATTGAGCCTTTGCCCTCAAGAGCTGCCCGCTGTTGGGCCACCGTACTTACAGAGCAGGGCAAAACATACTGTGGGGCTTGGCAGCCTCCACCTCACTCCCACCCTGTGAGCTGTAACTGGTTCCTCCTTCCTTCTGCTTCCCAAGTCTTTGCCTGGTTCAGGCTGTAGCAGCAGGTAGACAAAGTGAGCTGGCTGGGGCTGGACTCTGGTCCCTTTATTGAGACTGAAGGGCCAGTAGGTCCATTCAAACAAAAATAAATTTCTCTCCCAAAGCCTGCCTGCAGGCTGGGGCACCCAGCATGTCCTGGCTGGGGCCCATGGCTGTCCCCTACCCCAGCAGCCCAGGTCTGGCCTCCCTGAAGTGGCAGGATTCTGGCTGCCCATATCTGGAGACCTAGGTGGAGCAGGGAGGTGAGTACTGCTAGGACCCCCACCCCCAGCAAGGCTGGCCTCGATATCCATGGTCTGCAGTGGGCCCCTTGGGTCTCAGTCATTGGTCAGGGTGATGACGTCGTACTCGATGCCCTGGTGTTGCAGCTGTTGGATGTGTTCAGGCACTGCCTCCTCTGTGCCAAACAGGCCCTGTGCTTGGGCCATAGCAGCATCAGCCACCGCTGCCAGGGAGGGAAAAGGAGGGTGAGCCTGAGGCAGGAGCTAGGCCTGGGCCCTGAGCCTCCATAGTCCTCAGGGTCCAGCCCCATACCTGTGACAGCTGAGTGTGCTGCAGCCTCAAGCTGGGCCTGTGTGACAAGCTGCTGGCCTGGGGACACAGGCACATACTGGATCTGGAGCAGAGAAACCAATGAGATACGGCCTTAGGGGAGCCCTGCCCCATGCCCCATCTCCACCTGGTCCTCGAAGAGCCCTACCTGGGATTCCTGAAGGAATGGGGCCCCTTGTTCGTACTGGATGTGTGTTATCTGGCCTTCCTGTACCTAGAGAGGGAAGCCAACCCAGTGATCCCAGAAGGAGGTGTGCATGCCTTCCTTACCCTCGCTTGCCCCAGGCCTGGCCTACCTGGATATGATGGCCCTCTGGGACCACAACATATTCCTGGGGGAGTAGATGTTGGACTCCATCCTGGGAGATGATGTACTGTACCTGAAGAAGGGAGAGAAGGCACGTGCTGAGGCGCTGCTCATTGGCTCAGTGCCAGAGACCAAGCAGGGGGACCAAGGACACCTTCCATCAACTAAGGGCAGCTGCACCCTGGGAAGGGTGGTTGGAAAGTACTGTTACCCCCTGAAGTGGGGCCTTGGGGGTGGGGGAGGGAGGGCACTCAGGACTGAGGTGGGCAGTAGCAGCACACCTGATTGTCAGCAGTCACCAGGTGCTGCACTGTCTGGCCATCTGCTGTGGTGATCTCTTGGATGTAGGCGGCCTCCTCCTGCCAAGGCCAAGCCAGCTCTAGCCTCATTTCTCCCTGGGGCCCCCCACCTTGCCCATGACCTGCCAGCAGGACCCCCAATCCAGGCTCTCACCTGATTGGTCACTGTCTGCTCCTGGGCCACAATGATGTGTTCCTGGCCCAGTGCCTGCTGTAGCCTCTCTGGGCCCAGGACCCCATGACTGGACTGGAGTGCAGCTGGGCAGAGAAGGGAGGGTGCTCACTTGGGATCCAGGGAAACCTTGGCCCGAGGATGCCCTCTGGACAGTGGCTCAAATCCCTGACCCACTCTGGCATCCCAAGGGCAGCTCACTGTGCAGTGTGGCCAGTGTGTCATCATCACTGTTCAGGATGATGGTCTGGGTGGGGGTCTGGGTGGGGGCCTGGACGGCAGGAGTCCCTGCTTTTCTCCCATCAGGACTGTGCAGCCGTTGGATGTGGAACTTGAGGTGCCCATTCCGGTTGAAACTGAGGGGGAGGGAAGAAGGCTCAGGGTGGCCCTACCATGCATTCCAGCAGCCCGCCCGCCTGTTCCCAGCCTCACCGCTGTCCACAGAGGTGACATGCGAAAGGCTTCTCATTGGTGTGGGTCAGCACATGCCGCCGCAGATCCTTCTTGTTCTTGGAGGCAAAGCTGCACTGGCTGCACTGGTGGGGCCGCAGGCTCGAGTGCTGTGCCATGTGGGCCTGTAGAAGGGATGGTTGGGGGCACTGGCTGGGCAGGACAGATGGCTCCTCACTGACACAGGGCTGTCGGGAGCCTATGCCCAAGAGAAGTGGATCTGGGAGGGGCTGGCTGAAAAGTAGAAACCAAACTGAGATCTGGTTCTGCTGTGTGCTAAGAGGGGAAAGCCACAGGCTCCATCCCTTAGGTAACGCTGTCCCTGCATTCAGACTCAGCTTACCCCTATATAAGGGCTAAGGTTTGGATGAGGGGGACCTCTGAAGGTCTTGTCCAGCCCTAATGTTCTAGGGTTCTGGGCCCTGCTCCCCTCCAGAGCTGCTGAGAATTCAGTATGTGGTCAGATCTGAAAACACAATCCTTGGGTGAATGGAGGGAGCCCCCAAAGCAGACTGTGAACCTGTCCCAGAAGCTTTCCCTCACCTTACGCACAGTGTCTTCCCCACCTCCCTTACACTCTGTGCCCTCCACATTCTAGACAACTCGGGCCCCCCTAAGCATGCCTGTGCTGCCGCACCTGTGCCTTCGCTCCTGCAGGCCCCGCTCAACCCTCCCCAGCTCTGTGATGTTCCCTCCAGCACTGAGTCCGTCTGTCCGGTCCTCTGTCTGTCTGCTCTGCCATATGTTCACACTGAGTACGCTGTGGGACGTTGATCAGTCACCTGGTTTGCGTCCCACCAGACTAAGCTCCCTGAGAGCTGGGGCCTTGCTGAGTCATGTCTGACCCTAGAGGAGAGCAGAGGGCCTGGCTTAAGGGCTGCTTAGTCAAGGTTTACTACACAAGTAGCCAAATGAGGGCCAGCAGAGGCATGGGGGGGCAGCACCTACCCGGACCTCAGGCCACTGGCGGGCACTGAAAGGACAGTCAGGGCACTTGAAGGCACTAGGCCCAGCGTGGGCCCGTTTGTGGCTCTCCATCTCAGCTCGGCCAGGGAAGGCCTCAGCACAGATCTTGCAGGAAAACTTCTTTGATGACGCAGTGGCTGCAGATGGTGGCGAGGGAGGCACTGCCAGGCCCAGGGCTTTGTTGGCTGCAGGAGGTGGGGAGGCAGAGCCCTGGGGGTCTCCCACCTGGTGGGTCCTGGCTGGAGAAGGGGCCTCAGCTTCAGGGCCATCTTTGGGCAGCCCTCCACACTGCAGCACGGGCCATTTGGCTCCAGAGGCCAGGGCATCTGGACTTGGGAAGGAGATGGAGCCATCTGCGGTCAACTGTGGAGAGAGCAGGTAGCCTGAGGCACTGAGGAGGTGAGAGAAAGGGATGGGAAATGGAGTTAAGGTTGGCTACCCCAAACCTTACCTCGATGTGGTGCAACTGGGTCCCGTCAGCTGCCATGATGTAGTGGGTGCCAGCTTCTTTAAGGGCGTCGCTCACAACCACAGCCTGGGCTGCCTCCCCTGGGGGCTCCTCGCTGTGGACACAGAGGGGCAGGTGAGGTAGGGTTCTAGGAGGGGATGGAGGGCATCAGGACTCCCCTGGCCCAAAAAGTCATCAACCGAGAGGGGACTGCCACCACAGATGGACTCCCCAGTCTGAATCTTGGTAGCACCCCTTACCAGCTGAAACTGCTGTCTCTGGTAATCCTGCTTACAAGTGCTCAAAGTCCCTGCCCCCTTGATGGGCATAGGGGGAAGGCTGGGCAAAGAGCCCCAGGGGTTGAGCCCAGGTCTGGCCAGTCGGGGAGGCAGGGTTGACAAGGACCACAGCCCAACAGTAGAAGGCAGATGCTGGGAGACTAGGCTGCCCAGGGACTGGTCTGGCGTTCCTGACTCCCATCCCGGCTGCATACTGATACTTGGATTCAGGGTCTCCACAGACTGCCAAGGGGTTTTTGTGAACATATAAAATGTAAACATTTCTGCTCCAGACTTGCTCAGTATAGACAAAACCAAGTGCAGCTGCAGGGCCTCCACTGCTGACAAGGGGCCTGCACTTGCTCTGAGAACTGGAAAACCTCAGGGGTCGGCCAAAACAAAGAGCACGTGGGCTTTGGACCCAAAGGGACCAGGGCTTAAATCTTCATCTACTGCAAATCTGACCTTAGGTAAGTCATTTAACCTCTCTGGTCTATTTCCTCATTTGTAAAATAAGGGAAACAAGATCTCACATGAATGTCAAATGCCCAGAACACCTGTGTCCAAAAGATAGAAGCTCCTGACTTCCTGAGAAGGATATGACTCTTCTGTGGCCCAATCACTTTATAAGGATTTCTGCCTCCTGCCAACTAGGCTTGAGTGGTAAAGGTGATGCCCCCAGCATGCCTATAAGCAGCTGAAGGGCCCCTTGCAGGTGGCAGGCAGGCAGATCTCACCTGTAAGGTGTGCCAGGAGCTGATGTCCCCTCCTCCATAGGAGGGGCTGTGATGACGCTGTAGCCAGTCCCACCAAATGGACCGGGTGCCAGGGTGATCTGCTGCAGGTCAGGGGGGCCTAGTTGGCTCTCAGCTGTCACACTGCCCCCAGGCTCTGCCACGTGGAGGGTCACCACTTGTGGAGAAGCACCTGCTGGGGAGGGCTGCCCAGCAGTGGATGCTAACTCTGACCCCACATCCTCTGACTTCACCACGGCCACCTGCAACAGCACCAGTGGGCACTATGAGCAGGGTCTGTGGCGAAGGAGCTGGTGTTCAAGGCCTTTCTCTATCCCAGGGCCTCAGAGTCCACTTACACTCGGGCCAGGCCCACTCCTCTGCGCAACCTCAGTCATGTGTTCTTTCTAAAACACACCAAACTTTCCAAATCCCACCCAGCAACTGGAAACAGACTTCACAAGAACAGAGAAGAGAGACACTGCTCTCAGGGGACACTGGCTGTCACAGCTGGGAGGAGGGGTGCTATCGGTATGGTGGGGGTAGAGGTCAGGGATGCTACTAAACACCCCGTGATGCATGGGGCACCCCACAACAAAGAGTTCTCTGGCCCAAAGGACCATGGTTGAGAAATTCTGGGGTAGAGGGACATGCGGCAAATGATTAAGAAAACAAAGTCAGAGCCTGACCTCACATATTACTCCCCAGTCTGTTTCAAATGCATTAAAGATTGAAATGTAGTAATAAAACTCTTAAGTATATGAAGAGAGAATGTGGTATCTTTATAATCCTGGGGTGGGAATATTTTTCTCACCACAGAAAAAGATGCTAAAACCTACAGCGGAATAAATCACAAGATGAAATAAAAAAAAGAAATTGGGGGCAGTGTATTGAATAATTCACGTGAGAGAGAAGAGGTGGACTTCCCTGACATACAAAGAGCCCTTGCAAGGTGACAAAAAAAAAAAACACAATTTAATAGAAAAACATACAGAACACAAACAATTAAGTCACAGAATAAATGAAATGGTGTATGAACATATAGAAAGTTCAATTTCACAATCACAAAATTATAAATTAAGGCCATGAAATATTTCTATCACCAGAAGAGATTTATAAAGACTGGTGTTACCCAGTGTTGGCAAGGGTGCATGGAAATATACTCCAGTGGTGCTCATATACATTCACATCTCTTTTTAGGAGGCTTCGTACCTTCAGTCACATCAATTCTACTCCTAGGAGGCTTTTTTAAGTAAGAAAGTGCTTATCAGTACTTGAAAATATGTGCGCACTGAAGCACTGCCTTGAGTCAATGAAAAACTAGAAACAGCATGCTAGGAATCTATATGATAGGATGATGGGAGACCTGGGATGGGTTGCTGAGGAGACTGGCGTGTCTGTAGCTGAGTGAAGAAAAGGCACAGTGGCGAGCTTCAAGAGCGTGATCCCATTTTTTAAGAAACAAAATGTCCCTGTGTTAGTGTGCACATGGACAAACCTGGAGAAATGCTTATCAACCCGTTAACAGTGGTGACCTGAGGAGAGGGGAGGGATGTGAAGGACTTCCCCTTCTGCAGAGAAGGTTTCTCAGTGTTCATTTTGCTTTTTTACAAGCATATGCTTTTGTAATGAGAAAACACCCCAAAATGTACAACACTGGCATGAAAACAGCAGACAGATCAATGGAATAGAACTGCCCAGAAACAGACTCCTACACATGTAGGAATCCAGTACATGATAAAGGGGATATTTTGGACCACTGGGGAAGGTTTTTTGATATACTGCATCAGACAATTTTTTTGGGGGAAAAAAAAGTCCCCTACCTTTCTGAATACACCAAAAAAAATTTCCAAGTGGAGTAAAGATTTAAGAGTAAAAAACATGACCCTAAGAAAATATAAATGAATGCTTATATATAATCTTAGGGTGAAAGAAGCCTTTCTAGGGATAATACCAAAGGCAAAAACTATAAAAGACAGATACTATTAACTATCTAAACATGCAAAACTTCTCTATATCCCCACATGCCACAAGTAAGTCCTTTGAGGACCTCCAGGTCGAGCACCAGGCTCCCTCTCTGGAGTCCTGTCTGTTCCCAGTCCCCAGCAGCATGTTACTGCTGCGCATCCTTGGAATCTATCACCTCAAACATAAACCCTACATCTTTTCAAAGGCTGGGAGACAGGAGGTGCTAACAAATTTCTCCCTGCCTTAGAGAAGTGCAGGATGTACAGAGTGAGGGGCAGGGAGGTGTGGGGGTGACTCCAGGTGGCGCAGTGGAGGGGGGCAAGTAAAGGTGATGAACTGTTGGCTGCGAGGTGGGTGGAATAAGAGGTTTGAGCTGGAGAAGACTTTAGGCATCTCCAGGCTGTAGGGGTCATGGAACAAGGGCACCAGCCTAGATCAGAAGCTAGTTCAGATCCCCAGGCACAGGGTGACCAGAGCTATGAGAAAAACTGAATGGGCCCCAAAAGTCACAGGGGGCCAGCTTACCACTCAGCATGGCAGAGGCCACTGGTGACTCTGGAGAGCGCAGCAAGAGTCCTCTGATCTCCCGGGAGCTGGTGTCTCTCCTCTGCATCTGCCCACTGGGTTTCAGCGGATCTGTCTCCCCACTAACTGGGAACTCCCTGAGAGCAGGGCAGGTTCTAGGGGGCTCACCTGCAGGGCCGGGCCCCCCAGCTCCCGCTGAGCGCTCATATTCAGCAGCAGATCCAAGGCTGTCTGCGTGGCCATTGCAGTTGACTCCTCAGCTCCTGGGTAGGACCTGAGCCTTAGATGGGGCTGGAAAACTGGCACCCAATGCCTCCTCCCCAACCAGCACGAGCCCTGCCCCTGCCCAGCTCCCTGGGCTCCCATGTTCCCCCAGAGCTCACCTTGCTGGTAGATGATGGTGGCACCACTCAGGGTGTCAGAACACAGCAGTGGGGGTGCCTCGGGTGACTGGAAAGGGGCTGTCTCAGGGGGGACCTTCAGGGAGGAGAATATGGCCAAGCCTGAGCTAAAGGGGACAGCTTGGTCCAAGTGCCATTTATCAAGTAGCTGCTGTGTATCAGGCACTTTGTATCTGCCGGCTTGGCTCATCTTCATACAAATACTTTTCAAGATACTTGCCAGCTCAATGCTTCAGATGAACTGACTGAGGATCAGAGAAATCAAGTAAGTAACACAGCTAGTTAAGCAGCAAACCTGGGACTTGAACACAAGACTGACTCCAGAGCCTGTCTGTGTTCTACCAGCACATTGTGGTGGTCCATCTTTTGGAGCAGGGGAGTGCAGAGAGTGGGGCAATGTACTCTGCTACAAGACTATTTCCCAGCCTCCCTTGCAGCTAGGTAAAGTGGGGCCATGTAGCTAAGCTGGAGCTTCTGGTAAAGTTCACAAGAAAGATGGAAAAATGGCAGACATTCTTTTTGCCCTTCCCCTAGCTCTTCTTCCTGCTTCTGGCCTGGGCTGTAGCTAGGAAGGCTGGAGCTCTTGCAGCTATATTAGACCATGAGGCAACCACAAAGATGGAAGTCATATGCCTAAGGATGACTGGGAATAAATATTGAGAGAGCTTGGTCCCTGATGACTAACTATGGAGCTGCCACACCAGCCCTGGGCTGCTGACCTTTAGACATCTTTTATGTGAGAGAATAATGAACTATTATCACAATTAAGCTACTGATTATTTCTATTCTCTATTACTAGCACTGGAAAACTACCCCTCCTCTGAGCTTAGGGCTGGCATATCTGTGACATTAGCTGCTCTATACCACAATCCAGAGAGGCAGGGATCACTTTGTTGTATCCTCATGTAAAGGAAGATGCTGGGGTCAAGAGAGGTGACACTACATTATCATCCTGGCCTATCCCCCCAAGCCCCTTCTGTCTGCTGCCTGCTTAGCTGAGCTTACCTCAGGAGCTCCGGGGGAGCTAGAGGGTGGTCCAAGGGCTGGGGCTGCACTATGCTGCTGCTTCAGCTCCTCAATCTGCTGCAGAGAGAAGAAGGGGCGACGGCGGGAAGGGGGTTCCTCGGGGTGGCGCCGCCCCCATTCCTCGAAGTTGCTTGCATGTCGGCATCGCACATGCAGGCGCAGGTTCTTCTTGTGCCGTGTGCTGAAGTGGCAGAACTCACAGGCAAAGGGCTTGGCCCCTACAGACACACATGAAGGATGCTTGCTCTTGCCTGCTCCCTCCGAGAAGCCTTCCTTAAAGTAACCCTGAGGACCTCTCCAATTGATTCTCTCCCAGGCAAGCACACACTGCTGTCCTGTGGGCCAAGCACCTGCTGCTGCTTCAGCTGCCAAGGCAGGGTCTACGTGCAACCTGTCTCCAGCCCCAGTGTCTACTAGCACAGAAAGGGCTAGAGAACAAATGGAACCATATGGGAGGCACTTCTGATTCCTCTCTTCACAGTTAAGGAAAGCTCGGAGAGGGAAATGACTGGCCCGTGGCCACACAGAGAACACCTGGCTGAGCTAGACTCTGAGCTATGGTAGAGAGAGATGCCCCCAGAGAGGATTCCTTTCCAACTGAGTGGCTCCAGCTGTTCCCAAAGCTGGTGCAGGGACTGGGACTGCCGAGGGGAGGGAGAGGGCAGAGCTGAGCTTCCCTGCTGGCGGCATGGCGAGCTGAAGGCTCACCATGGTGGGGTGGGGCTGGTAGCCTGACCTGTGTGCTTGACGGCCACATGGGACAACAGGAAGTCCTCTCGGAAAGTGCGATAGGGGCAAAAGCTGCATTTGAATGGCTTATCACTGACATGGGACAGCTGGTGGTTCAGCAGGGCCTTCTTGTCCTCACAAACAAACTCACAGAATTCGCACTTGAACCTGGAAGCAGTTGGGGGTGGAAGCTTAGCGATATGGTGGGATGAGGGTGCTCCAGCCCCAGGAGCCTCCTCAGGGATGTACCTGCGGTTGGCGACAGCCTGGATGTGTGTGAGTAGGTGCATCTTGAAGGTGTAGCGCTTCTTAAAGGACTTTCCACACTATGAAGGGTGGGGTGCGTTAGGTGGGGGATCACCCAGAGAAGACCCTTGCCCCCTGCCCCCAGCCCAGGTCTTGGTCACACCTTATCACACATGTGGGGTTTCTCAGTGCTATGTGTCTTCATGTGCTGTGTGAGTCTCTTCTGCATGGGGTAGACACGGCCACACACAGGGCAGGGGAAGGAGCTCAGCTTCGGGGTCTGGGAAGGGATAAGAGGCCAGATGGAGAAAGAAGGCAAGCAGGAAGCCTCACTTCCAGCCCCTGCCCCCATAAACAGCCACCAAGCAAGCTCCCTTCCCAGGCAGGGCCCCAGACTCACCGGATCTGGTCTTTTCTTCCTGGGGAAGAAAGGCATAGAAGTCAGGCCATTGCTTCTTCAAGCCCACCTTAGACCCACTGGCATCAACCAGACCATCTCAGCCCTGACTGTCCCTATGCCCCACCCAAGCCCTTCTCTTAGAATAGTATTTCCCCAACTGGAATTCGCTGGGGAAAACATAAGAGGCATGTGGAAATAAGTTCTGGCGTCAATTATGTTTAGAAATGGTGCATTCGCTCTCTCATAAAATATGCTCACATTTTAAAGGCTCTGAGAAGTCCTGCAGGAAAAGACAGCTGTTGAGCCAAGTTTTGAACCTGGTGTCCCCTAATCTTATTTGGACACGGAACTACTCCTCTTCCTTTTTTTTTTTTTAAAAGAAAACCAGTAAGCATCTTGGAGAGCTGGCTTTCCCACAGTTTGAGAGTCACTATCCTCATGGACCCATTTCCAACCTGTGCTCACTCCTTGAAGCCAACTCCTTCCTGAAGCTGCAGATCTAATTATAATTCAGCAAGCAGTCACTACGACCCTATGGACTTTTGCTTCTCCACCCATCTGTCCTAAGTCTGCTCTGTCAACACTGTGAGAGGTCCAACACCATGGACCTGGAGTCCGGAAGACCTTCAGATCATTTACTGAGTCCCTTTAGGGACACAATTTCCTTTAATCCTCTCAACAATGACTATTCCCATTTTATGAGGCTCTTAGTGGGGAAGAGACCAAATACGGAGCCTCAAGGCCCTGCTACTGCCGTGTCCTAAGGTCTGGGATGAACAGCATTGCCGTTCCGATGTCTGCCATGTGCTGTGAATGCGGACGGCCCAGAGCAGGTGCTCAGTAAACGGGAACCATAGTTATCCCAGGCCCCACTCTCCCACCCTGGTCCCATCCCACCCACACCCACTGACCGGTCCCGGCTGTGCACAGCTGCGTGCCGAATGACATCCTTCCGGTAGACACTGGTGTAGCTGCATTCATCACACTTGTAGGGCTTACTGCCCACATGGTTGAACATGTGCTCCTGGGAGGGGCAAAAGGCCAACACTGGGCTAGGGTTTGGGCTGCCCTCCCCATCCAGCCCCTGCCTGGCCCAGTGCCTTAGGAGCAAGCTCACAGAGCCCAGGGTGCCCCAAGGTCTGGAGCTCATGACAGGGACCCAGGACTCTCCCCAACTAGGGCACCTACTCTTCACCAGGCCTTGTGGTGGCTCACCACTAAACAGAGGTAGAAACTGAGGCTCAGAGAGAAGTGACTTGCCAAGGTTCCTAAAGCAACCTTGTGAAATGGCAGAGCTGAGGGCTGAACCCACAGCTACACCTCCTTACTGCACTCTCCGACACCTCTCTGGCAGCGTTCCAGAGAACGATTTGCCGAGCATGGAAACCTGTCTGAAGGAGGAAACACCGTGCAGAAAGCACAGAGGCTCTGCCATCTGTGCATCAGGTAAGCCCGCACAATGGCAACTCTGCCTCACATTGGTCGGGCCAGGCTGCAGTTTCCTGGGTCAATAAAATGGGACTATCACCACCTGATCTCTTTGGGCTGCTTTGGGGTGGAATCAGAGTTTGCCTACAAGGGCCAGGCACTCACAGAAGAGAAGATTGGCTCAGGGCTGCTGCAGGCCCAACACAACATTTTGGGCAAACGAGAAAAAGGGACCCCTTTCTTGAGACACATTACTGCCATCTACTGGAAAGCTTTCTAACAAACGAATTACAGTCAGTTTTACTGCCATCTGCCAGTGTGTGGCTATAAACAAGCAAAGCTGATGTCCACAGCATGACGAGCACCCCCAAGGTTATGATGCCATCATGTGGTACACAGCCTGCAAAGCCGCCCTGGCAGCCCACATTCCTCAGTCACCAGCTGCCCAGACACGGGCCCCTCGGAGGAGGAGAGGGTGCCTGGGAATGCCCCGTTAGCACCATTCCTTGGTGCCACCTCTCAGCAACACCTCCGCCCCCAGGCCAGCACATGTGCCCCTCTCCACAGCTGCCGCACCTTGAGTGAGGACCAGCGGCGGGAGCGGTAGCTGCACTGCAGGCACTTGAAGAGCTGGGGGTCTCCGGCCTCATGGGAGTTGACATGGAAGCGCAGGTCCTCATGGGACAGGAAGCGGGAGCCGCAGATGCGGCACAGGAAGGGCCTCAGAAGCGGTTTGGGTGACTTGTAATAGTACCTGCCAGGAGGGTGGTGGGGAGAAGTCTGGCTGGGCTTGGGCCGCCTGACCCATGCCCCCATCTCTGCTCCACATACTTGCGGTATTTCTTGCCTAGGAAGCGCCTAGAAGGTCGCCCACGGCGACGGGGAGGGGCATCAGGCTCATCCTGGCAGGAGGGTGCTGCATTCTCTGCATCGGACTGGCTCACACCAGGTTCCACAGGGGCCCTACTGGCCTTGCTCAGGGCAACCAGGTGTCCTGGGCCCGAGGAACTAGGCGCCTCGGGGTCCTGTGGCTCTGGAGGGCTCTGTCCACTCTGAGAACTCACTAGAGGCTCTCCTTCCACACCTGCAAGGACACATCAGGGCAGACATGGACAGGTATGCCAGAGGTCAGCCAAAATATCCCTCCGCCCCGCCCCTGACCACAATGTCAGAGACCACTACCAGGCCCATAATATCATAGAACAGATGCAGACAGCCCGTGGCTAGAGGGCAGCGTGCCCCCTCCTACAGCCGACATGCTGTTAGCACATCCCAACTTAAATAGGACAGTGTGAAGCTGCAGCTAGAACTGGGGACCTCCCTGTCAGGAGACCTGTGCGCTAGGCTCAGTTCTGTCACTGAGTTGCTCTGCGTCCTAGGTGGTGGCATTTCTCTGTGAGTCTCATTTCCCTCATTTGTCAAATGGAGATGATAACTGCTGCTCTAGTAACGTGCTGCTCATTGGAATATTCCGAGGTCTGGGGAAGAACAGCAGCACTTCATGTTGCCTTTCTCTAGGGAGGCTGGGTGGCTAGGGGCAGAAGGCAAGAGATGTAAACCTCTTGAGGTCTGAATGATCTTAAATAATCCTAAAAGGCAGGTGCTATCACCTCCATGCATAAAAAGGGAACCGAAGATTTGAGAAGCAAAGTAACATGCTTCAGATCACATAGCCAGTAGGTGGCTCAGCTGGCATACACACCCATTATGGGTCTTTCTTGTCCCATTAATGCTCCAATCCAGTGCTCCTTGGACATAGTTTCAGCTCTCAGCCTTGTTCTCATTTCAGTAATAAAACTTAAAACTTACCTTACTACTTCAGTTATAAAGACTCAAACTTCTCTGGTGCTGTAACAACTTACCACAGCCTTTTCATAAAGCTGATAAAGTGTTTCTTAACTCAGGGTTTCTCAAACTTGCTCTGGGGGGGCTTTCCCCTTCACGAGGAGGTCTGCAGGTCACCCCTATTTGAGATGTGCTGTTCCACTTGGCATACTCAGTCCCCAGGGCTCGACGGAAGCAAGCAGGGAATGAGGCCACCCCTTGCCCCACCCGCACAGCCCCACCCACAACCAAGTCTCACCATCTGGGAGATCTGAGGCCTCCAGGCGAGGCAGCTTCCGAGGCCGGCCAGGTCTCCTTCGGGGTCTCAGTGTACTGGGAGCCGGGCGCTGGGGTCGTAGCTGCCGACCCCGAGGCTCATCCTCAGCTGGATTGTAGTCACTGTCCTCTGTGGGGACAGCAAGAGAAGGCAGGCATCAGTGCTGACCCGGCCTTTCACGCTGACCCCTTGTCTAGCTTCTCTGGGAGGAAATCCCCCACCATCCCTGTCTACTTCCGCTTCAAGCCTCTTCCACGAAGCCCTCCTGAAGCCCCCGGATGAGCACCCCTCTCCAAACCCTTACAGCCCTTTCTCAGCATCCTTCCTGACAACTATTAGCTCATACAGCTCCTCTGTGAGTTAGAAAAAGGCACCCCTTGCTCAAGACACTTCAGAGCCATCGTTAGAAAGCAGCTGCAACAAACATTCAAGTCTACAAACTCTATGACTGTGCCAGCCAACGCAGGAGCCACTAGCCATACATAGCTACTGGGTACTTGTTAAAAAATTAAGATACAAAGTGTTAACATAAACAATGGATTTCAAAAAATTAGTATGAAAACAAAGTAAAATAACTCACTGATAGTTCTTTATGACTGTATGTTGAAATATTTCAGATATATTGTGTAAATATACAATTAAACTTAATTTCATCCTTTTTCTACTTTTCTTAATATGGCTACAAAAAAAAGTGAAGTACGCACATGGCTCAAATTCTATTTCTCTTAGACAAAACTGAACGTGGCCTGTTTAGACACGGCATTCTTTTTCAGTGCACAACTGCACAGAGGTCTTGGTCCCAGAGCCCCAGCTCCTCAGTCCCATACCGGAGGCACCCACGTCTGTGTCTGCGCCAATTCCTCTCTCCCAGCCCTCCATCTAGGCCAGACGGAGCTCAGTATTTAGATGGGGATGGGGTCGCAGGCCGGGGAGACCTGGTGACCTACCCTCCAGGTCGTCAATGGCGCCTGCATCTACGATGTCATCATCTTCCTCCTCCTCTGGCCCCTCTTCCTCCTGGGTCTTGGTGGAGACGCCCCACTTTCTCAGACGTCCCTTCTTACCAGCTGCTGCTCTTGCTGCTGCTGTGCAGTAAGACAAGTTTGCTGCGGCTGGTTCTGGGCACTCCACCCCCACCTGCACAGTCCTAGCCAAGTAGGCTGCTATCAGCGCACCTGGTCGGAAGTGCCGCTCCCGCATGTGGCGCAACAGTGTGGCCTTGGTGCTGCTCCGGTACTGGCACATCTTGCACTTGAATTGCTGCACCACCACCACCTCCATCATGGCCTCCAGGCTCTGCAGGTCTGGCTCCTCAGCCCCAGAGCCTGGGGGTGGGTGCGCTGGCGAGCTGGACCCACCCAGTGCCTCCTCAGGCGGCTCCAGGCACATGGATGTGGATGTGGGGCCATCGGCCAGGGCCTCAATGGCTCCCAGGCTGTGAGCCAGGGTGGAACTGGACATTGGTGATGTCATGGGGGCACCTGGGAGCGGTGAGGGAATCCGAGGGAAGTGGGGGAGGCTGGCCAAGAGCTCCTGCTGCCCCTCCCAGGCAGGCCCAGGGATTCTAGAACGCAACTCCCCAGCAAAGAGACAGTGGGGAAACTGAGGCCCAGAGTGGTGGATACTTGCCAGAATCACAGTGAGTTTGTGGCAAAAACTCCCTCTCCTACTCCCTGGCCCACTGCAGGGCTCCCTGGGTCTGGCACCTGGGGGCTTACCATCATCTGGTCCCTGCAGGATCAGGTACCGTGTGGTCCCGGCCCCACCATCCTCAGCACTGGTTACGGTGATGCAGCCTGGGCAGAGATGCGGGGAAAGGATTCCCAGCCGACAGTAATAACTGTCACTGCTCACACTCATTCTGGCTCATCCACATATGCAACTGTGAACCAGCTGTATCACCCCTTTGAGTCTCAGCTACCACCCCCTACCCTGCCAAACCCGCACTGGGCAGCGCTACTGGGAGGCCTGGTGTTTTACACGTTGAATTGCAAATTCAAAGACATGCTGGCCCAGTTACCGCCTAGTCACCCAGATGCCATGGCTACCCCAGCTGCCCTGCCTTCGGCCACTAAGCCTGAGGAGTCCTGCTCCTCCCCCTCCAAACCTCCCCAAGGTCAAGGCCCAGCTCCTGTGCCCCATTCTTACAGCTGGCTTTCCCCACACCAACACACATCATTAATACCAGAAGGTACAGGGCGCTAAGTCATGAGTGTGGCCCTGGAGACAGACTGTCTGAGCTCATGGCCCAACACTTGCTGGTGACAATGAGTAAATTATTTTATGTCCTCTGTACCAAAGTTTCTCATCTAGACTGTGAGGATAACAACAACACCTACCTTTGGGGGTTCCTGGGAGGATTAATGAGCTACTGCATGTAACCTGTTCAGAACAGACTCCAGTTCAAAGCTAGGTATTACCATTTCCATATTTATTGGGTGCTTATCACATGCCAGCACTGTATTGGCATAGTTTCCCTGACCCTAATGTCACTTACCACTCTGACATGGGGGTTATTGTACCTATGTTACACATTGAGAGTGGCAGGGTTATCTGCCCACGTTTGCACAGGTTGGGTGTGCACAGCTGGCTTTGCTGGACCGCACGAGAAACCCCCCACGGGCCCACCGTTGCCATCCTCTGCCTCACTCACTCTGGATGAGGTCCGGCCCGATGGTGGACTCAATGATCTTGTCAATGGCCGAGCCCAGGTCCGAGGAAGAAGCTGTGCAGTCAGACACCAGCATGTTGGGGTCTGGGAGTTCACTGGAGTGCACCAGAGCTGGGGGGCCGCCTGTCATCCCTGCCACTGGCCCATGGGACACAGATGATGAATCAGGGAGGTAGCCCTGGGGCAGGGTGTCTGTGCTCGAGCTGCTCTCAGATACCTCCTCCTGGGCCACAGGAAACAGGGAGAAAGGGAGTTTAGGAACAAGGGATGGGACAGAGCAGACTGCTGCCCTCCAGACAGAGCCCCACTGAAGACCAGTGAGAGAGTTCTCTAGTCACAAAGCCCCCCAAGAAGAAATCCCAAGGTGTGTGGCTCTATTATAAGGGACTACAGATACCCCACACCCTGCACAACAGCCAGGCAGAGCTATTTTCACTGGGCTTTCAAATAAGTAATTCCCTCTGCCTGAAATGCTTCTCTGCATCAAACTATAGTTAATTCCTACCTAGCCTATTCACCACCTCTTCGTTAGTACCTCTTCTAAGAAGCCAATCCAGATCCTCAAGGACAAATTAGGGCCTCTCTATTCTCAGTGCTGCAGGCGTCTGAATTCCCCCTGCAGGGTGACATCTCCCTGGTCAAACTACACCCTCCACAGGAGCTGGGCCCACATCTCTTGTCTACTGCTATAACCCCAGGGTCCAACACAAGCTAGGCACATGGTAGGCTCATCTTTGCTGAATTCATGAACCCTGGACCCCAAAGAAGGGGCCATTGTTGTATACCTCTATAATGTGATGTCTTGAAAATGACCATTATCTTACAGATAACAATGGTGAATCTAATACTTACGGAATGCTTATGTGCTCAACTCTGTTTTAATTGCTTTCATGTATTAATTCACTTAATAAAAAAAAACCCTACTGAGGCAGGTATATTTATCATTTCCACTTTACAGATGAGAAAACTGAGAGCTAGAAGTTGGGTAGGCTGTCTAAGATAACACAGATAGGAAGTAGCACAGCCAGGAGGAGATGCTTTACAAAGTGTTTCCAAGAGTGTCTGGTGGGAGCTCACATCAGAGCATCCTCAGAAACAGGTGTTCCTGCTCCACTTTACAGACGGAAGACAGTCTCAAAGAGGCCTCCCAGTGAATCAGAGGCAGGGCCAAGACTCCAACCAGGACACCAGCCATGTCAGAGAGAATATTGGGTAGTGCAGTGGGTAAGACCACAGCCTAGATGTCAATCTGGCTCTGTCAGAGCTCTGTGCCTCGGTTTCCTTTTCCCTAAGATATAGAAAAGAGTGGTATGTACCTTACAAGGCATGAGCCTTAAATGAGAAAATCCATGTTAGGAGGTTGGTACGGTGCCTGATTCACAGTGAACCAAAAACAAATGTCAGTTATAAGCCAGCCTTTCTGGCTGCTTCCTCTCGGCTGCTAGGCACTGCTGCCTGCGGTCCCTGCCTCCACCCACGCCGGCCAACACGGTCCATACCAGAGAGCTGCTGCCACGGTCCGAGCTTTGCCCCACGCCGGAGTCATCAGCCTCCGCCGGCGCCGGGGTGGCTGCGGCGTCGCTGCTGTCGGCAGACACGGCTTCCGAGCTGCCCACACCCAAGCCGCTCTCAGAAGGTTCCTCGGGCCGCCCAGGCCCTGGGGCTGCGTCGCTACTGCTCTCCACCTCGTTCTCCTCCATTGGCTCGGGCGGCCGCCAGACAGGGGGTTGCAGGGTCTGGAGCTTTCACTCTGCGAGGAGAGGTGACGGGGGCTGGAACAGATGGGCCTCCGCCCCGGCACCCACGGCCCAACCAGCTGCACCCATGTGCCCATTTTGCGGATGCAAAGACTGAGGCTCCGACGGGGCAAGGTTCTCTTGGGTAGGGAGAGTGGAGCTTCGGAAAAACAGGACCGAGAAGCCTGGCCTCCCAGTTTCAGGCCCTTCTCCAGTCCCAGGGAGGTGGTCAGTGGCCGGTAATCTTGACCCTTTTCACCTCCCAACCTTGTTTCCCGCAGAGCGGTTTGCTCTAAGGGCCCCATCCGGGCCCAGTGGTTCAGCCCTTCGGTCCCCCACGAGTTCCCCCGGGTGCAGGGTCGGTGGTACAGCCCGCAGGGCCCCTGGGTCAGTGGCTCGCTCCCCCCCTCCCATGGTTCCCATGCGGAGGGGGCTGACAGCGACGGTCCCGGGGCTTGGAGACCCGGGGCTGTCTCCGGCGCTGCCTGAGCTTCAGGCCCGACGCCATCTTGTGGTGGTGCCGGGTTTCCGCTCAGGCAAGTGCGAGAGCGACTAAAGGACTTGGGACCCCGGGGCCCTGTTCGGACAGCCCCGCCGGCTCAGGACCTCGCCGCCAGGGATCCCCGTAGTGTGGCCCCACTTCACCGCCGGGTGCAATAGGACCACCTGACTCTACCCGACGCTTACCTGACGCTTGCGTAGCCGCGTTCCTCTCCGACTCCGGCATCTACGAGGTCGCCATCCTCTTTTCCCTGCTGCGGAGGGACCCATGGCGTACTGTAGACCGGAACTAATTCCTACGTCGATCCGGATAAAGACGGCTTTCCAGTGTGTCGGAAGGTTCTCTCGAGGCCTCAAAACCGTAATCCAGTCCTGAGAGAGTCTAGGGTTTTATATGTTACCTAGTATGAGTAACGGGGTACACTATGGGGTGGGGACTACTTTCGCAGCGGAGGGTTACATAGGAAGTGGTTAT